CAATCATTAGCCAAATATACTATCAATAAAATCCTGGGTCGCAAGTACTCACCTTAATATTTTAAAAAAAAAAAAAATAATAATATTACCAAATAAACTTCTTATTCAAATATTGTATCAAACAAACTTTTTATTAAAATATTTAATAATTTTTAAACTAATCAAAGTGATAGTTCTAATTATCTATTTATATATTATAACTTTTCAATAGTATATTGTTTTAATTTAACCAAAATGCTACTTTCCAGTTATTAGATGGTCTTCAAGTCGTTTGTTGAGTTCTGGCATTTAATACTTTGTTACAAGCAAGAGTTTTATTGATCAAATTCTGAATAAGTTTTTTATACTCATTATAAAAATTATTATTTTTAATGTTTTGTTTAACAATTGATATTAAAGATTCAAAGGTTTTTTTATCTAATTTTAATTCAGTTTTTCATTTTTCAATAATATCAAATTGAGTATAAACATTTTGGTTATTTTTATTAGATGTATTAGGTATAGTACTTATTTCACTTATATTAGAAGTTTCAAGTATAGTATTTGGTTTATCTGAATAATTTTAAGAAATATAGTTCCAAGAATTATTAGTAAAGTGAATTTTTGAAAGATTTTCATTTTCAAAATAAATAAATAGATAATTATGTTATTGAATTATATTGGCAAATTGTGGAAAAAAATTTGGATAGTAAGTAGTATATGTTTGTATTAGGTGCTTGCATATCAAATATGAACTATTTATAAAGGCTGGGCAAGAGCAAACCTATTTATTAATATCTATATAATAATTTTCTAATAATTCAATCTTTTTTTCAAGATCTGCTTTCCAAATATTTCTAAAATTAACCTACCAAGATGGAAACTCTCAGTTATTATTATATTTTTGCCAGGTATTTATCATATCTGGAATTAGTTTTTTTGATATAATATAATTTAAGTGATTAAGATGAGGTCTATTATAATTATACATATAGTTATGTTTTAAAATTCGCTAATGGAACTTAATGATCATTGTGGTTCTTGCTATAGGTATAACATTTGAGTAAGATGATCAAGCAAAAAGTTTTTAATTTTTTTCATCATACCAATTTACCTATAAGTAACCCCACAAGTTAACAAAATTGTTTTGTTTGCAATATTAATAAATTTCAAAAACATATTGATAATATATTTCAGCAGAGGTAATAAAAATATTTATTCCTATTGGAATTAGTAGATAATATATTGAATATCTTTTTACCATTTTTTTAATATATATTGCATTTTCTGTAAAACAAATTAGGACTTGTTTTCTACAGAAATCCAAGTTGAACAATGAATGAAAATTTTTTATTTGCTTCCTTCACCTTTTGAATTGAATAATATGAAGTTTTAGAGTTTGTTTCTTTTAATTTACATTCTATAGCATGTTCTATATGCCATAAACATAATTGAATATTCATTTTTAAGACCAGGCATCTCCTATTGCTGCAATTTGTACAGTGTCTTTGTTAGTAAGAACAAAAAAAGGTAAGATTCCTTCTTTTCTAATTAATCGAAAAAATTTTACAAGAACTTGAGTTTGATTATTAATGCTATTTATTAGGTCTTGTAAATAATTAGTTGATATGATAAATGTATCAAGATACAAATAAGCAAGCGGCATTCGAAATTCTTCACAATTAATGATTAAGGCAAATAGTTCAAAATTTTCTTTATTAGTTTTAAATGTGAAGTTAATAATAAGTTTACTAATATTGTCTTTTGAAATTTTATTTATAAATAGTGTAATAAATTCAAGTGCTCTAACAAAATTGTTTTTAAGATAAAAAATTAACTTATAACCTTCATTAACTAATTCTGATTGTTGCATATAATTTTTTATGAATATTACTTGGTTTTGTATATTTAATATATACTGTCTAGCAGAAAGCTTAAGCACCCAATAATATATTTGTTGATATGTGTGAGTTGTTAGGTTTATAAGCTTTTTACTAGTAAGTCTTTGATAAAATTTATTTATATGTAGTCTGTTGTTTAGATTTAATTTAATCCAATTAATAGCATTTTGAGATAATTAATTGAATGGTAAGTTGGTTGTTTATGAATCATTAAATGTTCAACTGACAATCTAACTTGCTTTATAGAAATATTAATTTTTATTGTAATATTTTTATTACAGAAAAATCATTTAATAGCTGGTCATGTTTTATTGATTCATTTAACAGGTTAATTATTAGAATGTTTATGTTGACATTCAATTCTTTGAAAACAGATCAAATAAGCTATAGCACATCTATAAGTTTAGTTATTTTTTTTATTTATATATAAATTTTTTAATTTCCAGTAATATTGTAATCTAGTTTCGATTAAAACAAGCAAGGCATTTACAATAAAATGGAAACTTTGTTCATTGTTATTATTTTGATTATACTTATTTAACAAAGCTTCTTCAATAAATTCATTATTTAATTCAATAATAGATGAAAATTTAATATATTCATTCTCTTCACAATTTAGAAATTTGTAGCAATAAGTTCTTTAAGATTCTCTATTTCATATACAAGGTCTTCATCTTTGTTTTCAGCATCTAATTTAGGATTACTTTCAGGTAATAGATGGTTTGATATATTTACTTGTATTGTATTTTCATTAATCAGATTTTTACTAATCATGCTTTGTTTTTTTTGTTCTAAGCAATGATTGCAATTTGCAAATGAACCATTTCCTATTCTATATGAACTCATAAATTTATTAATTGGTTTTGTTGCTTCACAACATGTACATGTTCTCATTTTAGAAAAGTTATTTATATCTATTAATTATTTAAAACAGAATTTTAAAGTTACTTTATATATTTAACTACATTCTTTTGTTAATCTTTTTTATAACTAACTATTGATATTATTAGACTGGTCTATTATAATCAAGAGGCAACAAAAGGTAAATGATATAAATTAAAAGATGAATTAAACAAATGCTTTGGTTTTTTTTATTAAATCAGAATTAATATGTTTATATTAATAAATATTATAACTACTGTTTGTGTTAAAGCAGGTTTATATAATTACATTATTATTCAATTACAGAATAAATTAGACTTGTAGAGATATTTTTATAAGAAGTTAGGGTTAAGTACTTGGTAGTAAGGCTTTCTACATGTATTATTTGTCAAATTTTAAAATTTTAAAGATTAAACAGCAGTATTTATATATATTTTATTTATACATTTTGCATATTAATATTTGCATCTTTAATTGTTTTATGTTTATTAAATTCAAACTTGTTAAAGATGTTTTTTTAAATAGTTTTTTACTATAATATTTTTATACTTTATATTTATCATTACAAATAGATTAAAATAAAGTTAAAATTTTTTTAAAATTTTAAAATCTATTTATATTTTTATATTAATGATTCAAGCTCTAAATTTTAATCTGAATCCAAAAAAAAATGCAAAATTTATTATGATATATGTAGTTTAATTTAATAAAAAACTTTTATTTTAATATTAATATCAATTTGGACTACTATTGGAATATCAATGCTATTTCTTTAAATGTTTTTTAATTTGATCATTATATTTATTAAACTTAAACTTTTTTATAAATGGTTCTTATTAATAATTGATTTAATAAATATTTTCTTTCAATAAACTTTAAATTTACCAAAAATTGATAGTAAACACAATAAAGCTATACAAATTGTTAGAACAAAAAAAAAGCAATGTTTGCTAATAATTTATATATACATTAAATGACATTACTAAAATGCATCTATGGTATTTAACATCTATGCATAATTAAGTGATATAAAGTGTTTTAAATAAAAATTTGTGTTAAAAATTTGATAGAATATTTAATAAAAATATAATAAATGTTAAGCACTATAAGTGTATTTTATAATATATATCTTTTATTAAATTATAAAAAACTACCAGAGTTTTTATTACAGAACTCTTTCCGATGATCATTTGAACCAAACTTTCCAAAAAGCTGAACTACAGAAAATGATATAGTTAATATATTAAACTTTATGAA